ATTTTATGTCACAAATCAACAGGTGCCTTTTTAAGCCACTGTGGATGGAATTCAATCATGGAGAGTTTGAGCCAAGGGGTGCCGATAATCGGGTGGCCTTTGGCGGCCGAGCAGGGCTATAACTCAAAGATGCTAATGGAAGAGATGGGTGTGTCCATTGAGTTGACCAGGGGACTACAGTCTATTATTACCAAAGAGGATGTGAAAAGGGTGATAAATATTGTAATGGATAGAGGAGGTAAAGGAGAGGAGATGAAGAAAAAGGCTGCTGAAATCGGAGAGTTAATAAGAGCATCTGTAAAAGAAGATGGAAGCTTTAAAGGGTCTTCTATTAAAGCAATGGATGATTTTGTATCTGCCCTTCTCTCTACAAGGAGAGGGGTCTCATAATTCTCGCAATGGAATTCAAAGAAATGCATAGCTTTTTCCTCCTCTTATTGTTTATCCCTTTTAAGTCTCAAGAAAGTCTTTAGTAAATTGATTTTTATCCACTCGTAAGACTCTTACTCATTTTAATCCAATGAACCAAGAGGAACTTTCGAATAACTGTGTTATAAGGGTTAAAAAGATAACTTTTCAAGCTTTTCATATAAAAACTCATGAAGCCTCTCTATCTTATCTCACATTCTAGATTCACGCGGGATGATTTTACCTCAGTAGAAAAATCGTTCATGGCCTTCAATCTTCTCATAAACTCCAAGTGTACAGTGAAAAATCGTTTATCATGACATTGTGGGAACAATATGGAGTTTAGGCACGAGCGTTCTTGAATTCTGCTTGAGAGGCATGGCAACTAGACTGAGCCTTGTGTGTGCCATGGTACATTGCAGCCTCAGGAGGCACTGTTATTTCTGGAGTATCTCATTTGAGACAATATGATAGAACTACCTTAATAAATCTGCACAGCGTAATAGTATGATCAACAGAATCAAAAATGAATTCGAACCCACCGACTTCACGATGTTTCCTTAAAACGAATTTGCGGCCTTCAAAAGGTGCTTAAGGCATCCAGCAATCGTTTCCCAGGATAGAACGAATTTCGTCTCCTACGGAAGCAGCACAACAATCTGCAGGAGTTCCAGCGAACTCAATGAAGTGTTTTTTATTTCGAAAATAATATCAGAACGAGATAGAGAGAGGGAGAATGAGATTCAATGCAGAGAATAATAGCAATGAAAATGGTGTATTAATTTTGGCAACGGGCTTGGCTATTTATA